ATGTCGGCGGGGTAATAAGGCTTTACCTTTTTAGTTTTGAGCTCCCTTTCGCAGGTAATGCGTTCAACAGGGGTACCGTTTCGGGTTTATCCGTTTTATCGTTGTTGATCATTCGCTGTATTATATGTCTGGTAGCTTGCTGTCTGATCTCTTTGCGGGGGCTGATGTCGCCGTTCCTAGATTGGTGAGGGGGCGTCCGCTTGAGCTTCCGTGATTGCTCGGTAATAATCGCAGTCCTCGTGTCCTGTATTTCGGCTTGATGAGCCATCCAGGCTTGGCGCGCTGCATCCTAGCAGTGGCCACAGATCCGGTCAACTTCACTATTTACGCCGTAGAAGTTGTAGTGACACTCGAGTATTCCCGAACATTTGGGATGGGCCCAACGGCTACAGGCGTCGCACTGTTTGCTCTTCACAACTCCTTTTCCGCACTTTACCCCCAGACACGGATGGGAAACACGTGGTATTAGTATTGAACAATACGTTTAAACCGGATTATGTTTTGAAAGTTAAGCAAGCTAATCCACAGACAATGAAGGAAGTTGGAAATTTATTGATAGCTGTCTAGTAAGCTAACAATTATTAGGTTACTGATAGGTAGAGCAACGTCAACGTTTACTATTTAGAACTGTTAACACTGGCTCTGTGAAACGCACTGATTGTTAACGTAAATCAATGATCTGGTTCACCTTTAACTGATAATAACAGAAAAATTTACCAACAATAGCAGGAGCAGCGAGTAATACAACCAAATTAGAACGTATCGCCAATCAAGAAACAGGCAAAACTACAAGCCAAAGAGCTTTTCCCGCCTGTAAACTGGACATTAGACATTGGACATTGGACTCACTGACTGATCTGACCTCAGGATTTCAAGGTCGCGTTCGTGTTCTTTTCCGCGCTCTTTGCGTCAATAGTGTTTATGGGCAATACACGATCTACCGTCAAACTGTTCGAAAGACGTACACGTCTTGGTATCAATTTGGTTTTTTATTGTATGAAAACTAATGTGTTCCCTTTTACGACATCATTTCAGTTCAAGTTTTGCATACTCATATGGTTATAATTGCTTTATATCCAATTCGTTGTGCCGTCGTTTGTCCACATAGGTCTCATTGGTCACATTGGGCAGAAATCTCTCTCATTCCCGGGAAACATGCTGTTTTTCGACGCCACAATTAGTTCAAATGTCAGAACCACATAAACCTCTCGGGTGGCGACCTTTCGTCTATGGGGGGTTAGCTGCGATTTTCGCCGAAACATGTGAGTTTTCTTTCTGATATTTGATTGCTTTTAGGTACCTACCCAATAGACACATCAAAAACTCGCTTACAAATTCAAGGGGAAATGGTTACTGGTACGGCGACGAAATTCAGCGGTGGGACGTATCGTGGAATGTTTCATTGCATTTACAGCATTGGGAAGCATGAAGGACTGCGTCCACTTTACCGTGGGTACGTTATATGATTTATGTTTTTCATCCGTGTAGTCTAAGCGCCGCAATCGCCAGACAAATGGTTTATGGAACGATAAAATTCGGAATGTACAACCATATGAAACGTGCAATTTACAGCGATCCTTTAGGTAAGGCATTTCTCGTTTTATCACTTTGGTTTTAGAGGAAACTCTTATAGTGGATGTCATATGTGCAATGATTTCGGGTGGATTTTCCAACGCGATTGCAAATCCTGCTGACATGATGAAAGTGCGGTACTTTTCTCCGTTGTTTGTACAGTCTATTGAATTAAATGTATATGACCTTATGCTATAGGAACCATGTATGAAATAACCTAATACGACCGTAATAGTATGCCCCTGTTTATATTTGGCGACGTCAACACATCCCCCTGTCCTCCCGCTAGGCCGCAAACCCTAAATGAAGTGACTGCTTATAAGGACTTGTATAATTACTGCCTTCAATGCCACCCCACTTTATCTTTCGCGTAATTATTCTACGGGTGGTGGTGGCGCAGTTCAGTTCAGTTCAGTTTGTACAACCATTAACCATACACTATTGTGAGCCGGTTTTGGTTGCTATCGTTCAGCTGTCCATTTGGATAAACACTAGGAGAATGACAGGAAAGGTTGAAAGTAGGATCAGTGGACTAATGATACAGAGAAAGTGAGATGCACGAACGCCACTGTTTACCACACCCAGCCATATCACTCAGTGTCTCTGACCATCGGGTACGACCACCCCGAGGCCCCCATCCAGGGAGCCTAACAGAACCTATGTCACCCAGTTTCCTGGTTAGGGTTTACATTCCCTCATACCAGGTCTTAGCCTGACCACCCTTGGCTTTTTTCCACTGCTTCGGCGAACATCGCTCGTCGTGGTAACCTATTTAGGGACATGAGTGACATACCTCAACCAACGTAATCTATAGAGATCGACCACTTGTTCCAGTAGGCGACTGCGGTTACCTAAAACTTATCGCCTGGCCTTAGATTGCTCGTCCGGCTGCCCCACCAGATTCGTAGACAGCGGTGTTCAAACACCGACTGTCTATCTTTATCCTGTTTTCTTAATGGCCACAGTGGTTTAGTCGCTGTCACAGGCGTACTTTGGACCCTATGAACCGAAGTTCGAGCCCCACCCAACTTTGGTGATAGGCAGGTAGTCTGTTGTCGTTCGGTTCAATACCACGCCTAACCTATCAGGGCCTTGTGGTTCGCCACTCCAAGTCCCGGGGCTAAGGTTGCCGGTTTCCACCACTGAACAGCAGGTCCTCGTGAATATAGGGGCCGCCCCGTCTGCTGTTCATCACACCTGGGTGTGTAATGAAAACAGCGATCATCTAGTGGTCGCTACGGAAATCGTAGTCCTAAATGATATGCTGGATGCACGTTTCAAAGGCCTTTGTGCACTCAGAAAAGGGAACCGGAGGGTTTTAAAGTCGGCTGGCTATGTCGCTGAAGGTGACGGAAAGTATCAAAAACCGAATAAGTCGCTTTTTGGACACATTTGTCAGTCGTCTCCTTGCCAAATTAATTAATCACAGCTCGCACCGTTGCGCTGTACGGATACTCAGGGAAGGGCGTGTCTCGCTTCGTGTGTTGTCCACACAGGTTCACTTTCTCTTCCGTTCTTCAAGTAGTTCCAATCCCTCTCCATCTTGTACTCTCACTTATTTTGTGTACATTGTGAGCATGTTGGCGATCAGCGAAGTTCGTTTCACTGTGTCGTTGTACGACGATGATGTATTTGGTGCTACTGTTGGGTCAGTGCTGCTTTACTGTTGTAACACTATCAGTAGTGACCATTAAACTAAATATCTTCGGCAACCGCTGCTTATGTAGCTTGGCACAGGTTGGATAGAGTGGACGGGTTAGTAATATAGATGTAAGTAGTCGTGTTTGTTAGTGTATTGAAGAAGTACTCCCTATCACAGAATTCTTCTCAGTCGGCTTCGCTGGTTTGAAGAGGTTTTACGTATGCCCGATGGTCACCTAGCGCATTGCACCTTTTTCCTCGCTGCTGCTTTAATTTGGAGAAAACAAAGTGGATATCATAAAACAGCATAAAGAAATGCGCAGAGCGATTAGGTAGAACAGGTGTTTCCGATCTCCCAGGTTGGCATCCAGCTGGTTGGAGACACCGAAGGATTTGGTACCGAACCAATGGCAGTGACGTTCTTGTTTTTATTTCTTGTTAGATCAGAATGCGTTTAAATGTGTGCATTCACATGCAAAGTGTGTTGAGGATAGAGGTTCGCCTTATTTCTCCCACCTTCGAAATTGGTCCAATCCCTGTTCATCTCACTTATTACCACTAACTTTCCGTACATTAAGACGCACCTCGCATTCTCACCCTGTATGTATTGTGAGTCGGTAGCGATCGGTGAAGTCCACCTTACTATTTTCCCGCTGTGCGCTAACGATGACTAACCCAACGTTTTCCCTACTTTATGACCTATTCTGGCGAATATGTGAAATATATAATTTTTTTATTACACATCTTTGTGTGATGAACAGCAGACGGGATGAACCCCGTGGTCACAAAGACCTGTCATTCTGTGAACGAAAACGGTAACCTAAGCCGCGGGACTCGAAGTGGCGAACCACATATGACCCCACTAGGATAAGTGTGGTATTGGACCGGACGACACCAAAGCTGCCTAGCACCTGGGGTTTATCCTGGCACCATTCACATAGTAGAACGTAACAAACTTTATTGGTTCTCAGCAGGATCCTATTACAACTGAATAAAATAGGCTCATCTATGAAGCAAAACTTCGTTTGTGCGGAACAGTTTGGATTTTATGCATAAATGACACCACTTCACTAATGTGCATCACAAAATCCGCATCGTTTCACAAGGAAATATCTGCTCAGTGATTGCATATTATCTCATGTCATGCCATTCTCATCGCTTTGATGCCAAGTTTTAGAGAGAGAGAGAGCTCATAAAGTTGTGTTCAGTACACGATGTACGACCGCGATCAGTTCAAGATGAATGCTAAAATCTCTATTGACTATTTTTTTCTTCGATCCACTTTTAACTCTTCTCGTTTCTGTCATGAACAATTATTGTTAGCGCAACCAAGCGATTGCATCGGGCTTCCACACATGAATGTATTTAGGTGGCATTTATTCATTGTTAGTTTTTTATTACACGCATTTGTGCGACGAACAGCAGACAGGGTGAACTCCGTAGTCACGAAGACCTGCTGTTCAGTGATGAAGGCCAGTACTCTAAGCCCCGGGGCTTGGAGTGGCAAGCCACGAAAAGCTCCAATAAGTTAGGCGTGGTGCTTCATTAGATAAACACCATTCGCCAAATAACAGACGATGCACGTCTTTGTAATGCAGGCTACTGTAGAATTGGACTGGAGGAAAGTTCATCTAAAATAACTCGTGTTTCCCGATCAGTTGATGCAAGATAAATAGAAGTATGAAGTGTAAAACGCAAACAATTAAGTTTGTTGATGGATTGTTTTTTTGGCTGAACGACCCATAGGTTTCGTCCATGCAGTCATTTTGGTGCGTTCACTAGGTTCCATGGCCGTTATAAAGCTGTCAAATTATTTTATCTACCCACCGNAGGCCTACACAGATATGACTGCAAAAGCACCGTCTCTATGCGGCCTTGTTCGCAAGACTGTCAAAGAAGAGGGTCTGTTTGCTCTTTATAAAGTGAGTGTTTTTAATAATAGCTCTCATCTGATTCGTAGTTCATGTGAAACAGTTCGCTGCAGTGTATAAGTTTAACGACGTCAATCCAGAGCACTTATTATGGCCGTCCAATGATTGTGCATTTTGGACTGCACTCCTCTGTTGAGCAAACGAATGCTACCTAGCCCGGTGTTTGTGGCCCTGTATACATATGTATATATTCAATGATAAGAAGGTAGTTAGGTAGTTAGTCCTGCTTTTGGTGATGGTCGTCACATTGAACTGTGAATTACTTGGTGTCTGTGGTCTATTATGATGTTCTTTGATATGAGAAGAAATTCAGTTTTGTTGTCTGTTCTTTGATAGATAAATTAAGATAAATTAAGTACGAGAATTCGGTTACCACCTTTCACCTGTCTCTGACTGTCTCACTTTTTCTACCACAGGGTGTTAATCCAACTGCATTACGAGCAGCTGTTGTATGTGGTGTCGAGCTCCCTGTCTACGACATTTCCAAAAAGTGGTTGATCCTTTCCGGCTGGATGGGAGACACAAAAGAATGCCATTTTGTGTGAGTTCTCTTTTCGAACTACTGGAGAAGTTATTTGGGTTCGAAACATTAGGCAGTTTGATTGTCATCGAGCAGGATATCACGCTCCCTTCACTTATGCGTGCTGTTGTAGAATAAACCCGCGCTTAATTTTTGTTTTTTATCTACTCTTATTTTGTATTGTACCTGTTAAATTCATTCTGTTCCGACTGATACCAGCTGTATGCCGCTATTCCGTCTGTACTGGGAAATTTTTTATCTGTGGCCCACAATGGTAAACTGCACCACTCGCGGTCACCGGAAAATCCGCTTTATTGATCGTAGGGAAAAAAGTGAACAGTATAATTTTGTATTACACGACAAGCATGACATACACTAAAGGGAGGAACTCACTAATCATGGGCCACCGTACAACAGGAGTTGAGGAACATTAATATAATACCATTTGTTGGTTTTGCCCTTAGAGTTACAACAAGATTCCAAGAGAGGGTAAAACGGAATTATTAATGTCCCAGAGTTACATGGTCCTTAAAATAAATTGAAAAATAAGGCTGCCATCACATGGTTTTTGGAATCACCTGGTAAAGCTGAAATCGCACCTATGACTAGGTCTTGCCAGCAAGTTCGGAAGAAAATAATCCGTGGCAATAAATTGTGGTTACATAGTCGTTTTCAGTTGTTCATCTCAATTGCCGACCAATTCTAATTATAACTCATTTTTTTCGTTTCTGGGTTGGTTCTGTCCAATTTAGTCGGGCTAAGTATGAAACTTGGTATCTGTATAGCATTTCATATTTTTATTTTTTCAATTTCATTTATTTCTGTTTCGCAGTTATTCAACTTAGTGCCATAACTAATATCGGGGCTTTCTACTGTTCTTTGTGTTTTGGGACTCTAAGACAGATTTTCCTTAGTTACTTCAAAAAGACAAGCTGTGGTTATTAGAAAACACGTGAAAATGGAAATCGTTCAACGAATAGTCAAATTCGTGAATGAATGCGAAAGTATAATTTCATCGACCCGAGCGTATCTCACATCGCAGCAATATTTGTTGCAAAAGTGTTACTTATTTACTATACATAGGAGAGACATTAAAGCAATTAGCGAGCCCATTTGCACCATCAGTCGAAACGAGTTCATTCGTCAAGGAGACGACAAACGTCCAGTTTGTTTTATTTAGAGATAAGAAAATCTAACTATTCATGGGTAATTTTAATATGAAAGAAATATTGTGCGACAGTGATACTCTGACGATCAAATTGCAAAATATGTGAAACTAATTGATTGGGTAAATGTGTTTTTATGAAAAACAGAGAAGAAACAATAACCACCGGTACGCCGTGTCTTTCACATGACAAGCGTAACACTGCTTTACATTCGTGCGATCCAATATTAACAATCACTGGACGTGCATGTTTCTGTGGTCTTTTCGGTGTTTGGCCCAATGGGAAAAGTAGAATTTTGATGAATTCCATGTTTTCAATCACTAATAAGTATTATTTTGAGTAGGACCGACCACCAGATATCTTCAGCCCAGCAACCACACACACACACACACCAGACTCCTGCTTCCTGCTCATCAAGGCTCATCACTAGTGTATATCCCTCATTCCGTCTACACTTTAAACTCCGGATTCTTCGTATGGAAGACGTATGGTTTATCTCAATCAGCTTACGCCGGAGGTGACCACAGTGATCGATTAAAATCTGGTTGGACGTTATATTCAGAGATATGAAGTTAGTTGTTCACCTTAGAGCTTCAACGGGAGACCGGATAAACTGCTAGCGTGTAGTCTAAATGATAGTCACTCATATTCAATAACACGTATCCCACACTACTGCTCACAATGAATCGGGACCGAAGTTCCGACCCAATCAGGTACGCTCTTTCTGCAGATCAGTCTTTGAACCTGTCAGGAGAAAAAATTGTATACTGAGGGGTGGGTGAGCTTTGATTGAATTTAAAAGGTTGCAGATTTTCTTTCGGAACTGACGAGCCAAGCACCGAGTGGCTGCCTTTAAAACGATATCTGAACAAACTTGGACTGGTAATTTTGATCAGTCTCGCTTTTGGCTGGTTAATGCAGTGGTCACACAAGTCTGCCATGCCCGGATGGAATCGTAAGCATGCAATACTGATGAGCTCTAATGGGAACGAGACTTTAATCTAATGCTTCCCCGGTGTGTGTTTGACTAGACTGTTGATTGAGCGTGAAGGTACAGTTNTTTTGGGGATTGTCACTGATCAATAATTTCAGCCGAATACCCCAGCGGAATGCAGTAATACAAGAAATCCGTAAGCAGAAGATCTGGATTCACTCTCTTACAAAGGCGACGATACCAGCCTGGTTTTCCTAAACCGGTTGATGTAATCAGTGAAACGCACCACCGATCCAGTCGTACTGTACATAGTTACACACTTTCAACGAACCGTTTGCCGTTGTATTTGAAGTCACATGCCATATACCATTTATGCGTGTGGATGCGTAGCGCCGTATAACAGCATCGCACCACCACATTGTGCGGTTATAACCACCACCGTGATCTTAAAACATCACACGTACGCACATAATTCAGTATCTATCACTCAAAATCTATGGTGTAATTGCTTCATCGTTGCTCTGTTGTCTCCGTCCTTTAGCTGTCCAAGTTTTATCTCGGGAAATGAAATGTTTCTTTTTTTCTGTTGCAGTTAGTGTCATAATTCCCGGTTTCATTTTGGTTACTGATTTTATCATTTATCCGCTCGACGTTCTCATTCCCGTCCTTTTTTTTGTTTTCACGGCATTTCTCCTTTTTCAGTGCCAGTTTTGCTGCCGGTCTTGCTGGAGCACTGTTCAGCAATCCCATTGATGTGATAAGGGTAAGTTGTTTCCGTTGTTCTTTTCTTCAGTTAAATGGTGTTGTTTCTCATTGTTTGTGTCACCCTTAAGTCTCTTTTTGTTCCGCATTTTCCATGCCCAACAATATGCTCTGGTTATCTGACTTAGTTTGGTGTTATTATGGCTCATTTTCTTCTTAGTGTTCATTATGCTGCCCAAGTAGGCCATCTTGGTTCGTTATTAAGATTGTCTAACAGATCTTTCACAGATATGCACTAAAGGTTTGGAATGACTAAAACTGTCCCTAACTGTGGCTACTGGCGACGTAATGGAATTCAGTTCACTCACCTTGTATACAATATGAGTTTGGTAGCGATCAGTGAGGTTCGCTTCACTGTATTACGCTGTACAATAATGATGATGATGAAAATGATGAATTCAGTTCACCCGAGCTACGAGAGCCGATTTTCAATACAGTTCTTGTTGGTGACATCCGATATACACGATAGTCCTGCTTGTTCGCCACACTGCGTGATACTAAAAGTGCGCTATTCCACATTGTTGAGTAAACGAATCGTTTTTAATAATCTGAAAGTGATTAATATAAATAAAATAAATATATTTTTACTTCCTTTTTTGATTTATTGAATATACAAATGTACAGTCGACTTTCAGGAAGTGGGCTGCGGCCATACAAAGGCTGCCTGGGGAAATACAGAAACAGGGAAGTTCTTTACTTCGAGCGATCGGAGCACCTGGAAACAAGGGGGATCTGATAAGGAAACATGCTTTTATCGGAGAGTCAGTTTATTCATAGAAGTTTTAACTAAGGGAGTTGTCACCACTACCGGTCGGTTTGATTTTCTACTCACTGTACAATTTCTCCTCTAATGAACACCATTCGGTCAGGATAGTGACAAATTTTTCCCCTTTCGATTTCACAGACCCGATTGTTGAATCAACGTCGCGCATTGACTAGTTCTCTAAACCCGCAACTACATACTCATCTGTACAAGAACGCGTTCGATTGTTTCTTTCGAGTAAGTTGAATCCTCGTGTATGCTCAGCCATCTTTGTTTCTCCATACATTGTGCCTTTGTGGTTTGGCTGCCAGATTGTATTGCATTATTTCTCTGGTTTCTCCATGTGGTAGAGCGCTGAACACCTATGTATGTAGTCGTATTCCTGTTCCGTACAAACAATTCCAATAAAATCTTTGAAACTGAGACGGATCGGATCGATAATCAAGTGACAGCAGGACTGTTGAAATAATTTTCATAGTCAGTTGACCTCACAGAACGGGTGTGTTGCTTTAATCACAACGTCCTCTCGACAACAGTGTTGTCTACAGCGGCCACCATGGAAGCTTCTGCATCATTGGTCTTCCAAACAAGGTTTTCGCACTAGTGACTCTTGTGGTGCTTGATACCTTCTTCCACCTGTCTCGTACACAAGGTCTTAGCTGCCAAAACAAAATGGCTGTGCCACACTACAAATTCTTGACGCCTTCTCCCCCGAACCGCCGAACACCCTGCTCTTGTCTTAACTCTCTCTCACTCCCTTAAATGAAGCATCAACAGATTTGTGGTTGTCTAGTTTTTTTCCATTCCACCGTTTTCTTTTTACGGTATAAATTATTTGTGTGATGAATTGTATAACCACTGATCGGAGTAATCAATCGAACCTTCACATTAGATGTCCTCTTGTTCACAAATGGTTGAACTGTTTCGTGTGGGGCTGTGGACAATAGCACCTGTCGCACTCATCCCCGGCGAACATTCACGAAAGTTCAATCCCTTTCATTGATCCGAAACAAATAGTTGTTGGCAAAACCGGAGTCAGACACCCCAAGAAACATTGGTCAAATTGTTACATAAACCGCGATCGAGAAATGTACTCAATTACTTATGTTCCTACCAAACTTTATCCATTAAAGACTATCAATCTTATCACGGTGCTCCGCACACCACTTGTTTTATTGTGGGCCTTATACGGTTCCCTACCCTAAATCTGCAATTCTCATAACTAAACACTTGATTATGGGAATTGGAAAATCTACCTGCTTCCATTATTTTACTATACAGTGTATTCCACTAAAACGGAAGTAAACGGTTACGGTCCCTCGCTCATACTGCTCGGTTCAAGGTGATAGTAATCGGGCTGTATGGATATCCCCCGTTGTGGGTTAGTTACACTATATCGTGCCATGCAAATTGAAATCAAAGGTGGCCGGTATTGTTTCTCGCGAAATCATGCTTTCAAACGTCCGATTCCAACTCTTCCATCGCCGATCTTCTAAAATCACAAGCCAGAAAGATCAACCCAGAAGTCTTATTCAAGGGCGTGCATGTGCGTTGCACTTGTGAGTTCTAAAAAATGTGTGCGATAGCCGGTATTAGAACATTTCAGAACCAAGGTGACCAATAAGACTAAGCGGATTAGGAACACGCGTAACTGCTCGTACATCCCAGCACATTCCATGAATTTCCTGGACTCTTCGGTGTTCTGATTGGTTGACTTCGATTTGTCATAGAAATGAGCTCATTTCAGGAAGATTTTTGCCTTCCCAACAATCGGTCTATGATTTCCTTTGGTGATTTACGAACCGGATTGTGTACTGTGGTCTCTGGGCTATCTGTCTTATGGGCGTTCAAATTCGTTAGGTTCGTTATGTTGAGATATGTTGCAACCGAGTGGTACTCATGCATCGTTTTTTCTCAATCTCTCCAGTTTCTTCATATTCATTTATTACCTTTGAAAGTTCTTATTTGAATGACGACGACGATCTTTGCCAGATAGAGTATGCCGCCACGGGATGAAGTGGATTTTACTAAATAACAACAAGAACAACAACCTCCCATGCAGTTCGCTATTTCACATGGACGGAACTTCACATATTTCGAACCTGAGTGACCGATGCAGCAGTGAACGCCCTTCTACCTTCAAATTTTCAAGATGAAATCGGGGACGCCCTTAATCGCCAAAGTAAACTATTCCTGTTGACGCAGCACATGAGACTGAAGATTATTTATGGGTGCGGCTGTGTGCACATGCATATCATGATTTTCTATATATATATATGTATATATATATATATATATATATCCGTACTCAACAGATAGTTGATTATGAACTAGTTTATATCTGGGTCGATGACCATTTTACCTGGGTGTATTTGATGAGTGATTCTCACGTGTCCATCAGGTCATGCAGATTAGATGAATATGTGAACGGGTTTGGTTTCTTGGCTACATCTTGATACTAAACCTTTAAGTCGGAAATCAGTCTGGTGTACCAGATGAGCAGCGCAGCGTTAGCTTTATTCTCTTGGTCTCATAGATTTTTACGTTTTTTCATGCTGTGAGATTAATCGATATGAACAGTTTAATTGGGGTTCTTTCTTCAGCCGTGTTACTCATCCGGAGTATTTTTGAAACCATATTTCATACGTTTATTTTACACACACTTCTTATCATTTATCTGATCTGATTGCAAATGTAGACTAGTACTGTGATGCAGACTGCTAATAAGAATTCGAATGCGAACTGTCTAGTTCACGATCTAGGGACCTATCAAATGCCTATCTAGCGGCTCCTTGTCGTAGATCCTCGATGATACGCTGTTCTAACTTCCCCAATTTCATCTTGCGTAGCATCATTGATGAAAAATTTATTCGGTTCTCCATTCCCAGTCGTGTATCTGTAGTACTTTATTGTTCTAGCTCGAAAGCCTCAGTATGGTCGGGGTGGGTGTCTGAGATTGTGAATGGTCGCCATTTCCTTACACCTCGCGAAATGCTCAAAGAGCCTCTACTGAGGAAGCCCTACTCACTGCCTTCTCGTGGCGGAGGTGTTTTCGCATCAACATGAGCAGACGAGAAGCCGACATCTAGGGCTATAACCGGGTTGATGAACCATTGGCAGTTCACCTAGGGGAGTTGACTAAAAACCCTGATTCCAAACCAACCAAGAAGAGGCGCAAGAACCACACGCACACCTTCCTGGTTGGGGCAGTGGTCACCTGCTCAATTGGGCACCGAGGTGTATTGGACATCATGGACTTTTGACCCCGTCCAAAGTGCGTATGATCCAGTGAACTGGACACCGGCCCCCAATCGAATTCGGACTCTGGTTATTCCCCTTCCTCAGCCAGGAAAACCGGAAAGTAACATGCCCACACAACCCATGAACACATTCTTCAAATTTCTTTCTGTTCATATGTTGTGGCACTTTTGCCAGTTCTCTGTAATTGGTTACGTGTTGAATAAATGAAAATAATATATAGTGGATTATTTGGATTAGATGGGTCATGCGTTCAACTTCAGTCGGATTGTATGACTAATGCTATTGGTTGAATGTCAAGAACGCAGCATCAGATTCGGTTACTGAGGCTTCGCACACTACCAAACATTTCAATGCGTTCTCCTGCCTCTGAGTTCAAACCGTGTGCCAAACAAAGCACGGCACAATAATCCTTTTAGAAGGAAAAAAATCCATCAGTTGCATGTGACCGGACTACTTCCAGGTTGCATAGGCAGTTGAATCTCGTTGGGGAATTTACAACCGAAGCCAAAGCCTGACTCGCAACGGAGCGGTGTGTGAAAACCGTCATCCGTTGGTGGCCGATGGCCAGTTTATCGGATCATGCCCCTTTTTGGACGGTTTCAAACGTCCTAGGTGCCCAATCAAACCGGTGACCACTGTCAAAACCAAGAAAACGTTTGTGTGTGGTTTATACACCTCTTGTTTTGGTTTGGAATCAGGGTGTAACGCCAATAGGTTCCCTGAGCCGGTTATAGCCCCAGATGTTGGCTTTTCATCTTCTCACTTTGGTCGTGAAACACCGCTGAAGGTTGGCTAAGGTTGATTGTTTTTACAACCGAACAGTAAATCGCTGTTACTATCAAATTCATCACTTTTCGTGTTCATTACCCAAATATTTAAGACGAATAGATTTCGTACTGCTCCACGGTTTCTGTTCAACATACGTCGCTAGAGGCGGGGTTACTTCAGTTTCTTCAACGGATAACCATGCACTTCCGTGCGGCGGTTTTGGTTGCTGTATCATGACTGCCCATTTGGATGAAAGAGCAGACGGAAGAAGGGAATCTTGTGAGCGGATGCAAATAGAAGATGGAGAATTCAGATGGACGAAGTTTGCAAGGATAATGAGTAGATGCGCGATCGTCACTGTCTGCTACACAACCCTTACCACATTGTCTCTAACCACCGGTTACGCTGAGCCCGGTCTCCTCATCCAAGAAGCCCAACGCGGCCTGTGTAAACAAGTCTCTGGGTTGGGGCTTTCATACTCTCATTCCTGGTCTGAGTTTTAACATCCTTTTCTTTTTCCGCCCAACGCCTGCCTCGGTAAACAACACCCATCATGGGCAATCCATTTTTTGTGACATGGATAACAGATCTCCTAAGCAATTTAATCCACGAAGTTCGATCACTTGCTCTAGTGGGCGACCGCAGAAACCTAAAACTCTGTCTAACCTCAGCATCGCTTGTCCGGTTGCCCCACCAGATTCATCCAACGCTACGTAAACAGGGGTTCGAATACCGACAGTCTATCTTTATTCTGTTTTCGTAATTCCGAAATCCCTGCGTCGTATAGCAAAACTGGCGATACTGTTATGGCATATGCTCGACCCTTCACAGACAGTCGAGCAAGGCTACGGTGCCACAGACGTCTTAAGTTGGCAAAAGGTAATCTTTCCTTCCGTATGCAACCTGACGCTTCATCCGCGATGCGTCCATCGGATAAGGTATAGCTGCCCAAATAACAGAACACGTTCCATCGTTGCCCCTCTTTGCTCATTTCCTGTCTACCACCAATTTATACCGTGTCGTCTATTGTTTATAATTCTTGTGCATTTTTGTTCGTTTCAGACCGTCCGTAACGAAGGAATATTGGCCCTGTGGAAAGGTTTTACTCCAAACTGGCTTCGATTGGGTCCGTGGAACATCATATTCTTCATGACTTTCGAACAACTTGGTCATTTGTCTTTTTGATTTCTATTTTATTTATTTCTTTTCCAGTTTTTAACCCTAGATTTATTTGATTTAGCCATTCCAAATCTGACTAATGCTGAAAACTGTATACCCACTGTGATTGATGTATATTTTTGGTCACATTCCCCGTTCGTCTAAATCTCAGAACAAACACACCAACACACACACAGAGCTGCTCACGTCGGATTTCTTGTCGTGCGATTTTTCGCCTTGCCCCCCGAAAACTGCATATAAAGCTCGTCGCGAAGTGAGGGACTTGGGATGGGATGGGATGGGGCGTCAATCACGAAGCAAATACTATGTCTCTTTCAAGCATTGATCGAGCATTGTGTGAAACCGGTCGAGTGATTCTCGAATCATTTGATTTCCTCATATTATTACTATTTTTATGGCGTGAATGTGTTGTAAAACTTTTAATTTCGGTTTTATGTACCCTTAGAACTTCATGTGACTCTTTTGGCTGCTCCTTTTCGGTTGAACAAAGATGGAGGCGTAGAGACAGCTTAGTGATACTGCATGTCAAACCTATACAGAACTCGACTAGATGCTCGAGGTACTCATGTTCTCTAACTGTCGATTACAGATCTCGATCGGGGACTTACGTCTTCTTTTTATACCTTCATACCAGGTTTTACTTTGACCATGGACTATCTGCCTCGGTAAATATCTTATGTCGAAAAAAAGCCTATTTGCCCTAGACAACACAGTCTATGAGGATTGTGCACTCAATCCAACAAGCGGAGGCGATTTTCTAAAACCACTCTCAAACTGGACATTGTCTAGTTGCCCCACCAGACTAATTCAGTGTGACGTAAGACACTGTGTTCAAACACCGTTCATTTGTTTAGATCCTGCTCCCTCAATATCCAACTCTTTGCACCTGAGAGCAGTATTAGCCAAACTGCTGTCTCGTACATTCGATCCTTCATAGATAGTCAACTGTTGCAACTATACCATAGATATCTCAGGATAGGAAACACCATCCAAGTCTTGTGTGTGAGTGCCGACACTTTATCCGTGATTCGTTTGCTAGTTGTGATGTAACTGTGCTAGAAACGAAATTTATCCGGTTTTTCGCCGTGTTGGAATAATTTGGTGATCCGCACCAACCCAGCCTTAAAGCATCATTTAACACTTACGGTACGCGGCGTCTAGAAGAGTTTTCCTCGCATTCCTATATACCCGTTCAACATCATCTACATACCTCCCGGCCGCACATCCACGAGAGAAAAGTTTAAATGGGACATCGGTCATGAAAAGCTATTCTTTCCCATTTTCCCAACCAATGTGTACATACTTCGATTCAGACGCACATTCCGCCATTCATTGACACTGTTGTGGGTGAAATAGTACGTCTCGTAAATTGGATTGTTCGGAGAACGATCTGAACTTCATCGCTTGACGAATCAACTCTCATCTATATTCTCGGCTTGTGTTGAATTATAGTTTTTCAACCCCTCTTGGGCAAGTCTTCTCACAAAACCGACTTGGATGTATTTATTCGTAACCAGTTCAGCATATGGAAAAAAGTTCAATGGGTGGAAGGGTGAGGGTTGTGCTTCACGGGACAGCGATCACGTCTCTTGAAAATGCCAATCTTGTTTGCTGTCTGCTCGCCGTTCTTGGGCGAGTGAATTGGAAAAGCATTGCAGACATACCTAACGATAAGCAAGGCACCAGTGTGTGCAGTTGTCATTTTAGGTGCATCGCTAATGCATATCCACATTTTTGCGGAGCAAATCCTCGCTTGTATGTGGATTATGGTTGAAGAAATGGTCCGCTGAAGAACATTGATTGTTTTGGCAAAATAGGGTTGTGAACGGCAGTGGGTAGAGTTCACATGGACTCGTTGGAGCATGCTTATCGCAATAAGTTGTAAACCTTATATCCGAATGGTACCCACGACCAACGCTGCCTAAGTCAATTCGTACTGGCTGAGAACTTGCTTGATGTCACTCGCTGAACAGCAGGGCATCGGTCTCCCCGACCCTACTGTACGTCTTGTGGAACTGTGGTGTTCTCCGCTCTGATTCTTGATCATGTGAGCCTTCGAGCATAACATATAGAACAAATTTGGCTGCAATTCAGAAAAGTCGACCTTAAATGTCACATTACTATTCGCTACAAGATGACTAGTATGCGATGGACGGAAGTTCCATCACATGCTCTGTTGCAACAATCTATTGCTTCGCGCTCCCTTTGATTGGCTGCGCTACACTCTCTTACTTGTTGCCACGTTGGCTTTGATCGCGTTTGATTTTTCATCATATGTAAAGCATGCTCAGGATCCTTGCCTTTTTATCATACTGGTGTGGGTATAGTAAAATAGATAAAACCCATAATCCGAAGATATTCTTAACATGGGACGGTAAGGGGAAAATTCAGGCCTGCATGAGTTTGTTGATAGTGCGTTTAAAAATAAATATTTAAGTTGGGAGGGACAGTGTTCCACAGTTATGCTGATGACTGAAAGTTAGAAATGCGAAACCCGGGGGATGGCCACTTGAAATAATTAACTAGCCGCTTGTGTACGGTACCTACGTGGAAAAACACTGAATATATGGGCAGAAAAGGCAAGTTCTGTAGGACAAAATCTAAAATATTATCGGCAGGCTAAGGAAACGACTGCTCGAAGGTAAGCTAGTGGTTGTAAGTTGCGTGTCAGGAACGGTTCGCTGCTGGCCTTACGTTGAACCCGTTCAAGGAGAGGCTGACAAAGCTTCAATCCACACATGACTGCGTTGTTCAAGTGTAGGGCAAATCTGAGCTTCGTAGAGGGAGAGGAGCTGAATGACCGTGAGGAGACGTGTAACATGTAGGAGGAGGAGGAGGAAGCCAGTTTTACGCGCAGCACAAGAGGCAAGTAGATCAATATATGGAGACCACAAAAGGAAGATCACCGATTGATCGATGGGACCGTAAACCGCACTGACAGCCACATGGAACAGTTGTTTTATGTGGCGGCGGAATTGATCAGCAACGACTGATTCAATAACCTTCGAACTAACTCATTTGAGAGAGATGACAGTTATGCGGGTCTGAGTGGTTGCTGCGTTTGGGGATGGGAAATGTTTCTTATATTTTTATGGGGTCTGGAAGACTCCGGAATTGTGGGATTGGGAGAACAAACGGTATACAAGGGGTTGGGGTTTGGGGGATCTCGTTAGATTTAGGTGGCCTCTGCGTGGGTATCTAGTAGCATTTGACGTATCCTTCTGGTGGATATGAGTAGTGTGAAAAGGTGGTTTGCTGTGGGTATGTGATGGGTTAAATAGATAGATGATAAAATCAGGCTTCCGTCGTACGAAGTAGACAATAAATGTAAACAGTTCTCGATCATACAGATTGTGTGAATAAGGAGAGTGGGGAGCCGAGGGGGCCGAAAGTGAGGGGTGATTAAACGCCGATCTAAGCGAGGTCATAAATGACTAGTAGCACTTCATAATTAAAAATGAGTTGTAGACAGAAAGAGAAATCGGACATCGGTACCACGTGCCCTCTATCGTATTCTAGATGACCGCTTAAACTTGGTGTTTCGATTTAGAATAAAGTTAACGTTTCATATTTCAGTTGGTCAATCTTGATGCAGAAAACGCTGAATTAATAATGAGACCAATAAAATTCAACGGGTAGTTCAGAACTCTTCGGTAGCTTCAATAAGTGAGTCTGAACAAAGTTAGAATCAAATGTGTTGCGCTTCTCCGATCAATCAAATTTAATATATTCGCCTGATTTTTACTATTTATCGGTTCCCAGTGAGTTCCTCCCGGACGGACAAGGAAACAGGCGATCATGCCCTCTTCTAATCATGCTTTGTATCAGTGTACAACCAAGGGAAGATTCAAAATAATTTCGCAAAAATGTTCCACAACAAAGATTCGTTACCAAGGTGACTGCCCTAATTAGCAACTTGATTGGTCGTTTTGACTATTTTCATTGTGGACATTTCCGACACACCTATACAGCAACTCCTTCGAGCATTTTTCTGTTTGGGGATGCACTCTCGTGGCTCGATGTCTTCTAACTATTAGTGTTGGGTAGTTTTTTGAATATGGGAGTTTCAGATACCACCGTATTACATACCCTCTGCATATCTACAAAATCAATAATTTTATACGGGGACAAAACATTAGTGATAACCGATTAGTTAGAGCGTTTAATCGGCAAGTTATTCTCGGCACAGGTCCATTCTTCATTCACATCTACTCTGTGACGGCAAATCAGAACTGCTAGGGCAATTGGGTTTACGTTGAGACCGTTGTTTGGAGGGGGAAGTAGCAGTTATACAGTCCAATTTACGTTCGATTGTAAATTGCAAAACCAGCCTTTTTATGTGGGCGATAATTTATGGTTCGTAATTTCCGAGGAAAATCGTAAAATAGGCTAAATCCTATTGTCTAGCTTAAAATTCACAAACCTATAAACAATGTTTGTTCGTCCACGCGGTTGTTCCATTTTGTACTTTTGCTCAAAAGTAGCAGTTTAGGAACCAGGTAATCAAATATTCGACAATATTTTGAGTGAACATGATTATCTAGTGTGTGACGTTCGCAGCAAAATGGTTTTAGTGTGATGGGAATTTTTTGATGGAAATTAGCGTCGAAGCATTACTCGCTTTAATCAAATCGATACTGGACCTCATCTCTCCGAAAATGAGGTAAACCAGTCCGTTTTGTCCGAGGCTCATTGACTGATGCGATAGAATTATCTCATGACTATTCAATTTGATATCATCGTATTTCCGAATGAGATCAAACCATTTGTGAAATGGTTCGCTCATGATAACTGATGACTGTCCGCTGCGTTCGAGTGTGCGAAATTATTGATCAGAATGATTTTCTTACTTTGATGAAATATCATTAGGTAGAAGTATGCTTAACGTAACACTTCTAAGGATTTTCATAAATATGCGCTATGGCTAACTTTTTCCTAATGTATTGATTTATTCTCGTTTTGAACTTCCGTACAACTGAACGGGGAAACACGCGATCGATGGCAAT